GCAGAAAGGTCAAGGGTATGTAAGTCAGGGAAAACTGTTAGTGTTGAAAATGAGACATCGAAAGTAGCTGGCTAAGAAAAATTAGAGACTGCTTGGTGACAATGTCCTCATCTGTAAAATGGGGTATTTTCCACTTGGCAAGACTATTGTAGAAACTTATCAGTAAGTCTGAGTGCCTGGAAGCAGCAGTAGCTGGACTATAGGAAGCAGCTGTAACTGGAAGCTTCAACAGGAGCTGACAAGCTCTCCCAAGAAGAACCCAGAACACATGCTCAGACACATACTTAAAACTGTTTTGACAGGGTCTCACCAGGTAGCTCTGGCTGGCCTGGTCCCAGAAGTGTTACAAAGTAAACTGTTCAAATACAATGGTCAGGAAAAGGGGAAACACAAACGGAAGGGGAGAACCCTGTGGACTCCTGGAGCATCCCGAGCAAGGGACCAGCCAGGAAGCAGAAGGATGAGACAGCTTAGCCCGGAATCCGAGCTGCTCATGAGATGAAGACAGAAGGATGATTCTAGGCACCACTTCAGCCTAGCTACCCTGAGGATTAGAGGGGTGAGCTGGTGAAGTCACAAGGACAAGGGTGACCCTTCGTGCTATTCTAGGAAGCCGAAAGGCAGAGTGTTGTAAGGAGAGACCAGAGCTCCCAGAAGAACCTGTGGTGTGGAGGAGCAGATGGGGGTGGTTAGGACAAGGCTTCCAGTGGAGCTGGGCAGTACAGGGGGATAGCTGTGGTGACAGAACGTCTGTGGTGCGGGAGAAAGGTGGTGCTCAGAACCCTTTGTTCACTCCGGCTCCACCATAATTTTGTAGTGTTTTAGGCAGGCTCCAACTCTGCAGTTCAGACTGGGTTGAAACTCTTGGAAATTCTCCTGCCTCGGTCTCCTTTATGTAGGCATAAGCCACCACACTCAGCTACTTAAATTAATCACTCTGTGGCCACAAAGCCCCCTTATAAGAAACACAGGACGTAAAGGAACAACATCCTTAGGAAACACTACAGGCCCCAGGAGGTGCACACCCGCCCAGTCTCCTGTACCACACACACATCAGCCTATACACACACACACACAAACACACACACATCAGCTTATACACATACACACAAACACACACACAACATCAGCTTATACACATACACACAAACACACACACATCAGCTTATACACACACACACAAACACACACACATCAGCTTATACACATACACACAAACACACACACAACATCAGCTTATACACATACACACAAACACACACACTTCATATTCCAGATACTCACCATGGGCTTATCGTAGAAAGGGAAGCCCTGCATGGAACGCAGGGCGTTGGTGGCGCTGCTGACCTCCTTGAAGATGACGAAGGCCTGGCCCCTCATCTTCAGGCTCCGAGACACCAGGATATCCAGGATCTGGCCAAACTGGGAGAAGATGGCATACAGGGACTTCTTGAGCTCTGCATTCAGGGAAGACAAGACACACTGTGACCAAAGGCCTGGACACTGTGTCCTGGCACCTGCACTATCCTTAGAAGATGGCCAGCCCAGCGAGGCGTGGTGATGCACACCTTTAACCCCAGTACTCAGGAGGTAGATCTCTGAGAATCTGAGGCCAGCCTGGTCTACAAATCGAGTCCAGGATAGCCAGGGCTGGCTACACTGAGAAATCCTGGCTTGGAGATGGGGGGGGGGCGGACGACAAAAAGGGCAGCCCAAATTAGGGGCCACAGGCCAATTGACTGAATACCCAGAAATGCCACAGCTCAGGAGCCCACAGATACAGCCAAGAACCACTCAAGTGATACGTCCACACGTCCTACAAGACGTGGACAGCTACAATACCTGGTACAGACCTGCTGTTCAAATAACAAACACTTCCTTTTCACTCCAGTTAAGCTAGCCTTCCAGTCCTTTTTTAAGCCTGACAAACATTCATTCATTCATTCATTCATTCACTTACTTATTCAAGGCAGGACCAATTCTATAGCCCTGAGTATGAGCTCAGGAACTCACAGCGGCCTCTCTAGAGCTGTCTTGGCCACACGCATGCCTGCATGCATCCATTTATAGACGCACACAAAATAGATACATAAAAAAGTTACTTGTTTACTTTAAAAAAAAAAAAAAAATGTGTGCTGGGATTCAAAGGTAAACTTTCTATTCCTGGGCCTTACTTCCAGATAAGAACTGAATTATTTGGTCGGGATTTTTGTTTAAAAAGATTTTTTTTTTTTAATTTTATGTGTGGGGTATTTTGCTTGCAGAACCCAGAAGAGGATGTCACAGCCCCTGGAACTGGAGTCACAGACAGTTACTGACCTCCCTTGAGTGCTAGGAATCAAAACCAGATCCTCTGGAAAACCAGGCAGCATTCTCTAACCACTGAGCCATCTCTCCAGGCCGTGTCGACTCTCTTAGTTGCTAAAATTTAAACCCAGCTCCTTACTCACGCCAGGTAAGACTAGCCCTGATTACACTCCTCAGTCCTTTTGGAGACAAGGTCTTGCTATGTAGCCTAGGCTGAGGTTGTCTGGAACTCAAGATCCCCCTGCCTCAGTCTCCTAAGTGCTGGGACTACAGCCCTATACCTCCACATCCTAAAATAAACCATTTGACTCTGGTTTCTTTTTTACTTGCTTTGACCATTTTGTCCCAAATGGCTTCAAACTTTCACTCTTCCTGAGGAACAGAATTACAGCCTTCTGCCAACCAGCCCAGTCCAAGAATTAATTGGCTTAGCCAGAATCCCATACTTCAGTCTCACTGTTCTTGCTATTTGATCCCAGGTAAGTTATGCCACCCAAATTCCAATTACTTAATCTGAGAGGCTTGTAAGAATTAAAGATATTCAAGACTTAGAATCCTGCACACACCACCCACATGACAGAACCATTCATTGCCCGTCCCTTCTGTATGTTATCTGGATGCGCTGAAACCACCACCCCGAGGTCAGTGGACAGAGAGAGACAGTCTCGTGAGAGCAGACTGATGGGGAGAACGATCCTGGAAGGCTTCGCAGAAAGAAGGGACCTGTGAGCTAAAACCTTGAAGATCGTTAACAATGCCTAGATTCAAAGGCAGAGTGTAAAACGTGTGTTGAAACCAAGGAACCAGTATGTACAAAGGTCAAAGTTAACTCCTAACAGACTGAATGGGGAAGGCTTTGAAAGAAATGTAGGTGCTAGCGGTGAAAAGGGGTCAACTCTTGTGAGATCACCTTAAGTCAGGCTACCCCAAGAACTCACCATCTTTCTTGATCTTCTCATTGAGATTGTTGATATAAATAGTGTGGTTGGGACGGGTCTCAGGAACTGCCATGGTGTGAGATGTTCAGGTACGGCTTAAAGAGGAGAAAAAAGCGACTTTAGCCCTAAGTTTCCCAAATTCTTTGTTCCAAAGGGCTGATGGGCTCTGCTCAGGGATCTTTCTTCCAATAGGAAGTCGGGTAAGACCGGAATTGGGGGAGGATGGCACAGCTTAGCAACAATGCCAGCATAGGACCCCGCGTCTCCAGACCTCGTGCTAAGGGGATAGCTAGAGAGGTTAACTACGAATCCCAGAATGCTCTACGAGTCCCGACAGGCGGAGCACACCGAGCGGCGCTTCCCATTAGTCCACGCGCGCGAACGGCATCCCCGGGAGGAAAAAAGAACCCGGATGTAGGAGCCAGTTAGGAAAGTAGGGGCCGAGTTGAAACATCCCAGGCTCTCAAAAGAGAGGCCTCCCGAAGTGCTCCACCCGCCTCCCCGGCGCCAAGCGGCGTCTACACCCGCGGGAACCCACCACCTGAGCCGTCGCTCCCGCCGACAGCGCCCGCCAAGCTACGTTGCACAGACACACAGCTTTCTATCGTCCCTGGCTCCGGCTTCTCCCTTCCACGAGCTAATCACGGCGCGCAAACCCGGTAAGTTCAGAATGAGTCTGTTTCCCGGCCTCGGCGCCGGCCCAGGAAAGGAACACTTGGGTTCCCGCCTTAGCAATAAGCCCCGCCCTCTCGCCGGGTAGGAACGGACCAATCAGAGTAGGGCACGAGTTTTTGGCCAATTGGGACATGACTAGCGCTCTAGTGCCATTCTAAGACTGCCTTTCGGAAGACACGCCTCTTCCTTTTCCGCCAGTATCACGTGACCGTCAAGGCGCGTTGTGCTGGTTGCGAGTTCTACCACGTGGGATGGGAAAGGACTGATGGAGGCTGGCATGGTGACACCATTTCCAATCGGGGCGGAGCCTGTGTAAATTCCTAGGTTCCATTTCCTAGTGGGTCGGTATATACCTACTTAGTCGGCCTTTGATCGATGAACGGCTGCGACTCTTCCCGGCTGATTCCATGACTCTGGCCACTGCTAGGCTGGTTTCCCACCCACGTGTCTTTTTTTAACCTCTTGACTCTGGCTCTTAAAGGCAACTACAAGGTTTCAAACTCAGGTCCAGGATGCTAAGTAGCCAAGTCGCATCCGTTAGACACCTTAACCGATCTGAACCTCCTTATCACAGAAGTGACCAAAACTAGCTCAGCTACAGCAGATGAGATGACACCTACAAAATTTCCCTCCTAATGTAGCCCCAGCCCCATAGCACAACCCACCCTTCTTTGATTTAGCCCAGTTTCTCTTCCCACTGTTTCAAATACCAAGGTTATCCCAGACCAACTGGTCAGACACCATATTCTGCAATCAACTCTAGTTTTAATTTTTTTTTTTTTTTTACAGACCTCAATATGCAGGCCTGAATATCTCTTATCCAGTTCTTAAAACTGAAAAATCTCCATCCTTGAGAGATTGGGAGGATCCTCTTTCTCATTCTTCCTGAAGACCCTAAATGACGTCTCCCTGCTCCTTCCCCCTAAAACCTACAGTCCCCCCAGTAATTCATGAGACTCAAGATACCACCATTCCACCTCCTTTATCCCCAGATCCCCCGGACTTAGCTTTACCATCCCCTCCTTGTAGTCTCCAGGCTTCTGTTCCATCCTCACCCCCACCTCTTCCACCTCCCCCACCCCCTCCTCTCCCTCTACCCTCTACTGTGGAGGCTGTTCTCCCAAATGTCTACGGCCTGAAGAACAGCCAGCTCCTGAAGGAGGCCTTGGAGAAGGCTGGACCAGCTCCCAAAGGCAAAGATGATGTCAAGAGGCTCCTCAAGCTGCACCAGGACCGGTAGGGTCTCCACCCCACCCCCTACCCCCAACACCAGCCTAGATCTCAGACAGTCACCAGTTTGCAAAGCACCACAGCCACCCTGCTCTCGGCTTTCCCATTTCCTTGATCTTAAGCAGCCTTAACTACCCTACTCTTCAGTGGTTGGCCTCCAGTAATAGAGAACAGCATCTCCTCGTGCCTGGTTTTGACTCAGAAGCCAGTGGTTTTGTGCCTTCAGACAGTGATTCCCCAGAGTAGCCAGAGTTATGATAATGGGGCCCGAGGACAGATCCTAATGTTGGCTTCAGGAAGAGAAGCAGCTACAGATGTCAGTGAGCCAAGTTATGCAGGCCAGTGCCATGAGAGCAGACAGCACTGGCACAGGTCTACAGTAAAGACTTTTCAAAGAACTAGCAAAGGGGAGCTGGGAGCAGGTCAGCAGCAGCGCACATGGAGTGTGGCAGGCTGGATGGAGGGGTTTGGATGTCCTGAGGTCTGTTGAGCCAGGGATGGCTTTGCTGAGAGAGGAAAGCTACTTTTAAGAATGAAGGTCATCTTCTTAGAAGGGATAACAAAATACTCATGGGTGCAAATATGGAGACAAATTGTGGGACAGAAACTGAAGGAGGGGCCGTCCAGAGACTGTTCCACCTGGGTATCCATCCCTTGTGCAGTCACCAAAGGTAGACGCTGATGTGGATGCCAGGAAGTGCATGTTGACAGGAGCCTGATATAGCTGTCTCCTTAGAGGTCTGCCAGAGTCTAACATATATAGAGGTGAATGCTCACAACTAGCCATTGAGCTGATCATGGGGTTCCCAATGGAGGAGTGAGAGAGAAGACTGAAGGATCTGAAAGGATTTGCATCCCCATGAGGAGAGCAACAATACCAACCAACCAGAGCTCCCAGGGTCTAAACCACCAGCCTGGGAGCACATAGGAAGGGACCCATGGCTCCAGCTGCATATGTAGGGGAGGATGACAGTGTCAGGCATAGGTGGGTGAGGGAGTCCTTGGCCCAGTGAAGGCTGGACGCCCCAGTGTGGGAGAAATCGTGGGTGGGGAGGTGGAGGTGGGAGTGGGAGGGTGGGTGGGGGCACATCCTCATAAAAGCAGGAGGAAGGGGGATGGTATAGGGGATTCCTGGGTGGGGGGGAAATGGGGAAAGGGGATTACATCTGAAAAGGAAATAAAATAATTTAATTGGAAATAAAATATCCAATTAAAAAAAAAGAATGAAGGTCATGAATCAAGTCCAAGGTGCCAGGAAGAGAGTGGTACGCACAGGGACACGGCAGGGACACGGCAGTAAGGGAAGAGGATAGAGCAGAGACCACAGGCCCCTGTCCAGATTGATAAAGAAAGTCCTAATTCCTGACATAGTGCCACCTGCCTGTAATCCCGGAGCTCAGGAAACCGACCTGGAGATGAGGTCAAGGCCAGCCTGAGCTACACAGTGAGACCCTGACAAGGAAGGAGGGAAGGAGGGGGTTCTTAAGCCCTCCAACCACATTTATAAGGTACACATACCAAGTACCCCAACCACCATCATAAAAATTGAAAGCAGAAAACCTGTCATACCAAAAAATTAGTGTGTATTAGACACTACTCTAAAGGGTTTGTCTACTTTGCTTTATTTCTTGGCCTGTTTTTTTTTTTTTTTTTTGGTTTTTCAAGACAGGGTTTCTCTGTGTAGCCTTGGCTGTCCTGGAACTCACTCTGTAGACCAGGCTAGCCTCGAACTCAGAAATCCACCTGCCTCTGCCTCCCAAGTGCTGGGATTAAAGGCGTGTGCCACCACTGTCCGGCTGTTTTTTGTTTTCTTGTTTTTTGGTTTTTTGTTTGTTTGTTTTTGAGACAGGATCCCATGTAGCCCAGGCTGACCTCAAACTTGCTACGTAGCTGAGAACACCTTGTTCTTTCTTCTTTCACATCAGGAGATAATAGGTATACACTGCCATCACTAGAATTGAGGGAGTGGGGGTGGTGATACGGCACAGAGTCTCTATGTAGCCCAGGCTGGCCTGAAACTCATGGCAGTCCTGCCTCTGCGTCCAAAGTGCTAATGTTACAGGCATGAGTCACTATGGTTGACTGAGTTTTTAAACATTTGTTGTTCTCAGCAACTTCCTGGGATAGGATCTGCTACTTTCCTGTTGAGGAAGGCCTAGATAAGAAGAAAGTCAGGACTCTTAGGAAGATAGAAAGATGAGCCTAGTTAAGAGCACTTGCTGCTCTTACAGAGAATCTGAGTTGGGTCCCCAGCACCCACATAATGTGGCTTAAAACCACAGCACCAGCTCTAAAAGATCCCACACTTCTGGCCTCTATGGGTATCATACAAAGAAAGCTAAAGCTGCCACTCAGCCACTTTACAGAGAAAGGATAGGTCTCCATCTGAACTCAAGGAGAGGACTTGGAGCTTCTAAACACCCTGCTGTGGTCAGGAGTTATCTTAAACTGAGAACCTGGAGCTTTGTGTATTCATCATGTGTGAGGGTCCCCACCACCACCCCTGGCTTGCCCTCTCACTGGCCTTGGAATAGGCAAGACAGGCATATGGCCTGGGGGACCCATGCTGAGGCTTGGTCTGTTGCTCTATATTGTAAAGCTGTATTCTGTACAAAGGTTTAGGCCTACCAGTGAATTCTCACATTTAGTGGTGGTTGTTGTGCAATTTTGCTTCTTAATTTAAAACTGTTGAGCTTTTCGTCTGTCTCTATGTATTATAACACTTACGTACTGGCCCTGGTTGCCTCAGGGAAGAGCAGATCCTCCTGTATACCAAGTGATGCTGTGTAACCTTTCTCTCCCAAGTTATCCCTGATTGGTCAATAAGGATGCCTACGGCCTGTAGCAGGGCAGGAGAGAGATAGGTGAGGTTTGGGTTCCCAGGCTTGAGGTCCTAGGCAGGGACCATGAGGAGGAAAAAGATGGTGGAGAGAGGAGAAGATGCCATGGAGCAGGTGAGTCATGAAAACACGGCCGTGAGGGCTGGCCAACCTGAGTTAAGAGCTGCCCAGATGGAACAAGGCAAGTTGTAACTTGGAGTTATTGATACGGAAGTAGATATTAATAGCTAAGAAGGTGGCTATCTGCCCAGCTCCAGTGCTGATTAAGGCTTAGTATAAATATAAAAGCTATGTGTCTTTTATCTGGGAACTGAATGATCTAAGGCGGGGTAGATAAATCATTACAACAGTGATCACAGAAACCACGTGGCTGCCTCAGGGCGGAGCGCCACAGGCCTACTCAGAATCAGTGAGGCATCTCTCCAGCCTAAAGCGTATGCCCACCTGACTTTACTCAGGCTGAGTTAAATCTATTTATTGTGCATCTGTGTGTGTGTGTGTGTGTGTGTGTGTGTCCTTCCGACATGTGGGTCTGAGGAATTGAACTCAAGTCGTCAGGTCTAGCAGCAGGCACTTTTATCCACTGAGCCGTTCATTATGCCGTTACCCCTTATGGAGACAATAATCAGGAAGCACACCTTTAATCCTTAAACTGGGGAAACTAAGGCGGAAAAGTTGCCACTGGCTGGAGGCTAGCCTAGGCTACATTTGAAAAAAATATCTACAAATAAAAAAAGAAGGAAAAAAAAAAGCCCACTTGGGTATAAAACATACCACCTTGTAGCTATTTCTTCAGCTAGATCATTATGACTCCTGGTTGGTTGTATAGGTTCTTTGTCTGCTCTTCTTGTCTTTCAAGACCTGAGAGAAGCAGCAGGAAACATCCAAAATGGCGATCCCTACCACCACCACCAGATGAGGAAACTGAGGCTTGGGGGTGGGGTGGGGGTGTGAGTACAGCCTCAACAGGGCTGAAGTGAGCTGCTCAGATGGTCTCCCGGGGTGGTTTCACTCAGAACTCTTCCCTGTGACTTACCAGGGTTGCTCTCCTCAGGTTTCGAAGCGACCTGCAGTGGATCCTCTTTTGTGCTGATGTGCCATCACTCATCCAGGAAGGCCCTCAGTAAGAACCCATCGCTTGGATTCGAGAGGCCCCTCCCACAGGCCGTGGCACTGTGGGACAAGCACCCTCACCCCCAGGCATCCTGGGAAGGGAGAAAAAAATCTTCAGGGTATTCTCCACATCAGGGTGTGTGTGTGGACGCGTGTGCACGCGCGCACGCACACATATGTCCATTTTGTGTTCCCCAGGTTCCACCCCCACCTTACAGCCCACTCTCTCCACCTGGCATGGGAGGGGAGGCAAGTCCCCTAGCCAGCATGCCTCTCTCCTCTTCTGGGGTCAGGGGAATTCAGTAAATACACAGGACATGCTACAGACTGGGCTCTCTCCCCCAGGTGTGGACTGGTGGCCCTGTGGATGGCAGGAGCTCTTCTGTCAACACCTGGCAGTGTCTCTCTGGACAGGCTAGTGCAGGTGGCCAAGGAGAGAGGCTACACAGCACAGGGAGAAATGTTCTCTGGTGAGTTGGCTGGGAAATCCCTCAAGCCCTGAGTTTGATTGGCTCTTCTTTTGGGGGACAAAAGAGGCCAGTTGAGGCTCTCAAAGTGAGTGAGGAGGTCTCATTACCATCTCCTGGTTTGCCCCTTACAGTAATAGACTAAAGACATTACCAGGACAAGTCAGTCTAGACTGCCTAAGTCCTAAATTCAGGTCTCTTATCATTCTATAGTTTGTTGGGTGTCAGATCCAGACATACTAACAGGGGACCAGGCCTTCCTTCGGGTTCTCTCAGCATCCCTCAGTTCCTACCTGAACTTTCCAGCCCAGTGGCTGGACTTCCTCTCCCCAGAGGCTCTTCTCTATACAATCCAGACATTTGGGGGGATTCTAAGCAGGGGCTCTACCACTGAGCCACGCCCCCAGCCCCTCACTGGGGGATTCTAGGC